AACACATTAATTGACAATTTTATATACTGCAGTTGCAACATTCAAATACTTCAAAATTGATTATAATCTACAACCCATGTCAAACGGAGCCTCTTTCAAATAAATCAAAATCGGTTATGATTTACAACTCATGTCAAACGAGTCCACTTTCAAAAATTTCAAAATCGTTTATGACCTACAACTCATGTCAAACGCATCTTGTTCTTATAATGCAAATTCGGTTAGGACCTACAAACCTGACCACAATATGGTAAAACTGCGACCATCTTTGTTTTCGTTTTTGACACTAGTTATATCTTATAATATAACTTAATTTTTGTATCATACTCAAAATATTGATATTTCTTGTTATACAATTCAAATTTAAAGGCGTTATCAATCATTCTATTTACTCGTATTAATTTAAAAAACTCACAATTTTGAAAGGCTTGTTAAAAATAATTAATAAATATTACTATAACTTTTTCAAAATATATATAATTTAATACAACAGTGATGCAATTTCAATACAATAAAAACTAATTTTATAATACATTTAAGTTAAACGTACATTTAAAACTATCTTAATATAAAATATTGGATCTAAAATCGATTTCAACTACAGTTATGATTTAAAGCATTATTAAACCAAATATAAAATTTCAAACCACTTATATTAAAGCATTATTAAAGCATCATATTTGCAAAACTATTTTATGTTAATAAATAAAACAAAATCCTTAGATTGCAATGTTAGAAGTGATCATAAACTGCAAAAAAATAATTGTATATGAGTTCAATTCAATATGTCCAAAGAAAATCATAAAGCAAGTCACCAAAAAAAAATTAAAAAGTCAACCGTTATTATTGTAATTGTTCATGATGCACGAGTTAAACGAACTTCAAGTTCATTTTGCACTCTAAAGTGCCAAAATGATATTTCATCTCCCGTTATCAATTTTAGTGCTCTCCAAAAGTTGTACCACCCTGCACCCAAATACCTCTAGGTCGTCTTCTTCCCATATAATATTTGACAAGATAAAATGATAAGTCCATCATTCTCTTTCAAAATTATGTGTGTATGTTCTGCTAACATCACCTCACAAACACAGTTAACAAGAAGAGGCTATAATTACAAATATACTAATAAATTTGTTAAAATAAATAAAATCAACCATTCATTTAAATGACCAGTGGATTTTTATTTTATATTTATACATACCAGTACACTATTCTTAGATGCGAACGATTTTCACACTTGTCGTTACCACATCTTCACATATTGAAGTTTAACCTTAACGAAGGTTTTGGTTGCAGCATATGGGTCAGTGTGACGATATTCAATGTCTACATCTTCGGTGTTGGTGATTCTTATTTCAAAAACGTTATCACCATCATACTTAAAGGTGACAAAATATACACCATCAAGTTGATAAAATTGTCTTATCAGTCTTGATGCATTTCTAAAATAGTTGACTATTGCATTTCTATTTTCATATATTGTAACATTAATAACATTACCCAAAGGATCTTTAAGGTAAAAATGTTTTTTCATGATATTAAAATGTCATTTTCTATAAAAGCCACCGTTGATAGTTATATCAACGAATAATGACAATTTCATCGACCAATAATTACAAAAATACAATACGTTCAATATCTAATAAATTGATAAAAAGGTTACATACCCGATCACACTTCAGTTGACATTAGAATTCATCATTGTGAAGATTATTACCTTGTTAGATGTAAGAATAAAATTTCATGGTTGTTTATAATCAAGCGATGACTACCTCCAATATGATACTAAATCACAAGAACCGTAAACTTTGTACTGCCTATAAAGAGAAGAGCTGAAGAGGTTTAGTCACAAATATGAGTTGTTATACTTGTAAATTTTGATGCATTAAATTTTATTCGACATGTGGATAGTCGAAGAGATAGCTCCTTTTAATTCCTAATGTGGACTGACATTGTTAGAGTCTATCAGGCGTGTGTAGGACCCGAACAGACTAGTCCTTTCATCAATGATAATGGAGTTAGTGCCCCCACATGACATAAACATAGAGACTCACCTCAAATACTACAGATTTACTAACATATTTTAAATTATGCATCCACAAAACAAGCATCTAAATCTCAATCACAATCATCATTCATCATCTATTCCAAGTCAAAAGCACAACTGGTGCTCTTACTGCACCAACAGTTCACATATGTGTGCTTACCGCACCTAACCATACTCAGTTTCACACCATGAATGGTTACCAGTTACTCTTGTCTTACGAATATTGTATGGGCAGTCACGAGTCGCTCAACAAAGGTGTTGGTCAGGGGTCTAGTCAGGAGGAGAGCGTGTGGTTTGTGGTGTACCCACACTCACTGTTGGTGTCACCACCACTCTCTCTTTCCCAAAGTATCTGTACCATCCCCATCTTCCACACCCCAATGTATCGCTGAATCATCCATAGTATATCATAGACATCATATTTTACCCACATTACACGACACAGAGACCCACATTTATTTACAGTATACGGCACACAGGCCCATAATTCATTCACAATACTTCACACAACATATCAACAAGTCATCCATATCTATTTCCAACCATTTACACTATTCAATCATCATTCCTCAACATGCTCACACATATTCTCAATCAAGGGTATGTTAACCCCATAATCAATTCACATTTCACTATAAACATAATAATTTTCATCAAATCACACATTTTCTACTCTCTATCTCAGCCACATCATAACATTCAACTAAATAAACGGTAAATTAAACATAATGAGATAGGGTAGAGTCCCTCTTACCTCAAGTGAAGAACCACACACCAAAACAACAAGGTAGACACTCCCTCACACGAACTTTGACCTAAATACATGGAAGAACCCCATAAGAACTCAGGAAAATTGAGAATTCAGAGGATGGAGATGAGAAATCGAAATCCTAACCACTAAAACTCACCTCTAAGCGTTCCTTACACAAATCCAACTTTCAATCTTGCTCCTAAGAGGCTTGGAGGCAATTTAATCAGTGAAATAGGGTTTGGGAGTGAAAAAATCGAAGAAATCTCGAAGGGAAAGTGAGAAATGAAACTTCCCTAAACCCTAACCCCCTTTAAATTTTTTCTGGTCGCAACACTCTCGCTACAGCGAAAATATCAGAGAAAATTGCACCCTAATTTCGGCAGATTTTCGCTACAGCGAAACTGCTCCCAGAAATGCACCCCAAACTGTTGCTTTGTCACTACAACGACAAGGCAACAGTTTCATGCATTTCTTCTAGGGCCTTCTCGCTACAGCAAGAACACCCCAGTATTACACACTTGACCTGTTTTCTTGGCCCAATCAACCTAATCCAATCATATACAAATACAGTTATACTCATTCGTATGCATACATACACATCGATATCATCATCATGCAATCAAGTGCACACTCTAACATCCATTCACACACACACATATATATATATATATATATATATATATACACACACACACACATAATAATAATAATAAATACATAACGCATGAAAGTCCACATAAACACTTGTATTGATAACAAACTATATTACAAAATTCGAGACGTTACAGGCTTTGTAGCCCAACTACTGTACAAGAGCCCATTGATAAGTAACTTCTACATCAGTTGAATTGGATGATCGAAGCAATAATCCTTTACAAAGTATATTTAAAAATTTAAAACGTAAGTTTTACATGGGTTCTTTCATATAACAGATGTAAAAAGTAGCAACATAAACCCAACACAACCGATGCAAATACAGTCCATGCGAAAAATGTATAAAGTGGTTGCCTAATGACATCAGACTTGCCACAAAACCGATACAAATTGAGTCCATGCGCAAATATAAAAGGTGGTCACCTAATGATATTGATTTTATAACACAACCGATGGAAATGTAAAGGCCCATTAAGCCTCCGCTTCCATTGGTTTCACGTATATATTGTTCATTTTCACATCAAAAATGGTCAACAGATTCTTTAAACATGGGTTCTTCTATATGTGGGTTATAGAATAAACCGATATTCAAGTTTAACTTACTGTAATATTGCCTACAAATACAAATTGAATTATTTTATCAGTTCTATCATTCCATCTACAATCTGTATCTTAAAGGTTGATATAGCACAAAATGTGTCTGCATTGCACCACAAACAACTATACACTATCAAATATTATATATGTCTTCACAGATGAAAGATAAAAATGCAACTAAAATAAAACATATCACTATTAAATGTAAGTCTGAAGAGAGAATTTTGATACAGTTTCACGTTTCTCAAGAAACCAATTGGGACATAATGCGACCCAGAAGAGTTATGTTGCAACGCGAAAGATTAAAAGAACAAGATGACCAACAAAATGAAAAACTAAAAAACAAGAAGAACCAATAGAAATATGAAATTACTAATACTTGAATAACCAGTATCCTGTAATTTATTTTTAACTAGTTGATTAAAATTAACGGTTTATAGTATATAATTACTTTTATAAAAAAAAAAATTTTATCTTTTACAAAAGATGAGAGGATATTAGAATCCGATTTGCCACTGTTGAATCCATAAAATTTCACCCTTAAAATCTAATTTCGATTATGACTTTCACTATGCAAACTAAAACCAGGAGAGGAAAAAACAAAACGTCTTTTCGGCCCCTCCCAATTACACAATCGCAAACTGGACTGCATTAAAGAAAAAGGCCCCCCAGAAATTATGAAGAAGCTGAATATCATTCCACACACATAACCACAACAAAGCAACAGTTACACAAATTATGCTCTACGTACCTATATTGCTAGTAAAATGTCCATAACTAAATTTAAGTGTATTTTATGTTATCATCAACTACACTTAGGAAATATCTATATCCAAACCCAAAGAAAATAGTTTATGCATTATATTGAGTTTGTTACGAGAGAGGTGACTTAGTCTTAGTTGCCAAGTTATTTATAGCTGAAGAAATTATTTACACAAATGAGGATCAAAGTTTCATCACTGTTGAATGACTACGACTACGTTTGATTTATGATTTATCCATCGTAATACACTTTTTAATGCATAAATGTGTTTTTAGCAGAATTTTCCGACACGTTTAACAGCTGATCAACGAGGCCAGAAAGTTGCATCAAAACAAAAATTGGAAAAAAATATTATATATATATATACACAATTTTTTATTAATTTTAATTTAATTGTTTACTAGTTTTATTTATTAAGAACAAACAAAAAGTAATAGTACACAATTTATAAAATTATAAAGCATCTTGAAATAAAAAATATTTTACATAGAGGGTCATTTTTTTCAGAATTTAACTTATAAATATTTTTAAAAAGTGAAAAAGCATAACTATTGATTAAAACTTAACAAAATAAATTTAATTCTTTTTACAATTGCTATATATGTTATATCATATTTTGGATAAATGAAATTTAATTAATAATTAACATCTTGCAAATTTTTTGTTCCAAAATTGTTTTATTTTATACGGGACAAGTTTAATTTTTTTTTATGCGAGTAACAGCTCAACACAGTTTTTATGAATAACAAAATTTCATCCATAAAAAATAATATATCCTATAAAAAGTAAATATAACGTTTTTTTCAAACGATCTTCATAAGGATTACACGTTCTGAACTTCTTGTTACATTTTTTTTTTTTAATTCTAACAATCCACGTTTGTTTAACTTAAGAAGTGGATTTAAAATTGTATAAAAAATTGTTTTAGAAAGTATATAAACTAACAATTAATTTGTACTTGATTAAATTTATAAAAACAATTTCATTTTAGAAGTGTCTTTAATTTATTTAGATGTGATAACATATAATTTTTTTTGTTAAACTTACAATGAAAAATATTAAAAATTACTTTCCACCTCACTCATTCAACTATATTGTTTAAAAAATTGAAAGAAGCTTCTTAAAAAAATTTTAAATCCATAATTTTTCAACATTTTATCCAACTTAAAATACTTTGAGAGTTAATTTTTTTATTAAAAACAAAATCAAACTATCGGACTCCAACTCCTACACATGAATAGAGTAAAACCTAACAAAAAGAATGTTAGAAAAGTATGGTCATTTAAATGTTAGATAGCAAAAAATATTATAATTCATGTTACAACATTTACAACTAAATATTTTAATCGTTTAATATTTAAATTTTAATGATTTTTTATTATTTAGATATATTTGTCGTAATAAATATTGTTGGTTTGATAAAAGATAATAAATTTGTAAGATGATTAATATAATAAATAAATGATATGAGAAATAAATAAATAATTTTTTCTATAAAATTATGAATATCAATTATCTTTTAAATTTTGATACAGAACTTCAAATGTAAAATAAAAAAGAGAGAATATTTCAAAACTCGGCATTCAAACATTGCAGATTAGTAATTATTTGTCAAACAAAATTGAAAAGGTTTGGTTACACATTAATATTGTAAAATGATTGATAAAGTACAATTAATCACTTTTATTGTTTCGATAAACGAGTATTTGACTATTCGGGAACGTTTACTTTGCTAAAAAAATATTAAATTAATTCATTAAAATTGAAATTAAACTTATAAAAATAAAAGAATTATTATATAAAGCATATTGATTATAGTAAAATTATAAAAACATAATGAGCAGTTTTCTAACCAAATTTTATTGTTATTAATATTTTAAACTCGACTCTAAAAATTGAAGAAATCATTCACTAAAATTGTAATTGTTTTCTCCTTTTAAATAGTTTTAAATAATTAATTTAAAATAACTAAATCCAACCGATAAAGATACTCATTTGGACGCTTGGGAAAAGAACAAAACGTCCTGTCTTCGCAAATATCCTCCAGGAATGATAATACTCTCGCATCCTATTATGGGACGTGAGGTGAACGTAAGAAAGCAAAATATATTATTATAAAAATTAATAAAAAAATATAAAGAGAAAGATGTATGAAAACAAAATTGCCTCCCCTTTATAAACTACGCTTTTCGAAAAACTGTTGAATACTATAAAACCATCACTTATTTATAATCAGGGATTAATGTTTTCTAATTAATAGTAAAAAAGCATAAAACTATGATATAATAAAATATAACCGGTCAAAGTTATAGACAGGTGATAGTCACTGAGCCTCCAATAAATTTTCAAGCTTTGGGGTCGCACTCTCCCCACTAAACTTTCCGCATGAAGAAATTATAGTAAAGAACAAAAATGCAAAACGTCAAAATTAGTTAGGGGAGGAATGCCATAAAAAGACCCATCAAATTAAGTTCCTCCATGACGCAAAAGCACATTCTTCTTCTCATACATTCCCCAAATTGTAAAGATTTAAACGTGGAAGAGTCACTGCCACAATTCCAGAAATGCAATAAAACCCATTACATCATCATACACCCAAAAGGGACATTTGGGGTGGACTAGTAGACACTTCTCAAAATGGAGCCGTAGATGTTCTATATAGGCTCCCTTTCTTTATCTGCTGTGTGGCTGCGGCTTCACTCAACTGCAATCACAATCCCCTTAAACCAATCAGCTTCTATACGTGCAATATCAAAAGCATGTCTAGTTTACTCAAACACTGTATGAAGCCCAATAATCATATCTTATCAGATATTTACATTCAAAAAACTATATTTTTATAACATTCTCTGATTAATGCTCCTCTCTCTCTCTCTCTCTCTCTCTTCACGTCATACTACGTTCACTTTTCTTGAAACAAAAAGGCGAAAAATTATTATTTTCTTATACCTGTTGTTGCTGTCTTCTGAGTCTTGCATTCTCTTCCCTTAAGTGCTCAACTTTAAGCTCCAGCTCATTGGTGTAAGCCTGAAGAAACCATAGAGACATGTTAAGTAAATTAGAAAAAGAAAATGAATGATATGTACTTATTTTCCATTTTGTCAATAACAATATTTATTAAACAATAAAAGTGCGATAAATTAAAAGATATATAAGCACGAAAAGCGCTTATACCTCTCTTGTTAATACAACTCTTGTTATCTAATAACATTTATCTTTTATTTTTATTTTGGTGTGATGATTACATAAACCTATAATTCTGGGAGCTAGAAAGAGTTTGGCGAAAGTGAAAGTAAAGAAGGAAGAGCTTTTCCTGTTTTCTAGCTCGTGATCGTGCGGCGGATTCACGATTCTTGATCATACGCTTGTTTCTTCGGTCACCGAGGCTGCAATCAGGAAGGGTATCGGGAAATCTTTTGGTGCCCAAAGTGAAGGTGCGGAATGAGGAAGGGTTCGAGGGTTTGGGTGTAAGAGGATCAAAATGCAAGCTGAGAGCAGTGAGAGGGGGAGGGGGAGGGGGTGGGGGTGGGGCCGGAGAAGCAGGACGGTAAAGAGAAGCACTTTCTGAAGAAGCAGAAGACAGAATGGTGTTGGTGTTGTTTGGTGGGTCTATGGCCAGAAAGTCTTGAAAGATTACTCCTCCCAAGTTAGAATGGTTTGTTGTTGGACGAGTGTTTTGGTCGTTCAAGGAAGCCAGGTTGATGTCTTTCCACACCTCTTCCATGGTTTCAATTAATGAGAGAGATTTTGTGTTGTGTTTGTGTTTGTGTTTGTGTTTGTGTTTTCTTTAGCAGCGGTTGATGTTACGAGGGATTAAGAAAGAGAGAGTGGTAGGCGTGTCGAAAGGGAAGGGTCAGGGTCAGGCTCAGGCTCAGGCTCAGGGGAGTGAAGTTGTAGAGTACTGTTACAGTTTCCTTTGGTTTTTTCTTAACATTTCCCACCTCTCTCTGCACTTTGTGTGACTAGTCATGTCCAACTCTACACACGTGACACGTTACACGCGCGCCACCCACAACCCTACCCCTCCTTTTCCAATTTCCCTAAAACAACAGTTTTTTTTTCTCTCTTAATTTTTTCAATGAACAAAAAAACATTACTCTCTCTTCGTTTATGTTAAGGTATAAGTGACTCGCAAATGACAATTTTTATATTCTTTTGTTAAATTCAATCGTTAAGTTGTTCAACAATTCCTTTTTGCACTGCCCTACGAATTTAGGGTTATAGCAAACTGAACTGTTTGTACACGTATTATTACATATATGTGCATACAATGTTATACTTTTTAGTTATTGATCTCCATTCAATTATAAGCTCAAATTTCATTCTCACTTTTTTCACTGCCAAAATACTGCATGTGTTTACTATAATTTATCGTAATTCTAGAATTTCAGATTAACTATTGCTGCTGTTATTAAAAAAAAAATTATTAAGATAATTTTTCTTACTGTAGTATTTTTCTACCAAAAGTTTTATAGTTAATAAATAATTTACAACTTTATGCTAATAAATAAGAGATATATGTATATTGACAGTGTATGTTGTTTTTGTGTACTAATAAAATTATTTGTTAATATACTATATTTCATGATGTTTCGTTATCAAGATCCCATTGTTTAATTTAGTTCGTAAAAATCATGAACTATGAAAGGTATAGTTTATGGTAGGATAATAATAGCCTTGGATAACATTGCATAGTTATTTTTTTTAAGTTTGTTTGGTGGACATAATAAAATAAAATAAGAACAAGATAGGTTCTTATTTATTTTACAATTCATGTATATTAAAATGACAAAATAAATATATTATGTTATTTAATTTAATTTATTTTTTTTATTACACATTTTCATAATGACGAGGAGCTTTTTCTTAATTAATTATCTAAGAATACGAAGAATCTGTGCTACGCCTTATGCAGCTCATACGTATCACTGAGTTTCAGAGATTGTTTAGAAAATGATGAACAATGTGTTTCTACTAATCATAATTGGCAAGTTCCATAAAAAAATAAATTTAAATTTTTTTTAAAAAATGGGCAAGTCATTTTCTTGTCAAGATACCTGTCTAGCGTGACCCACTGCTCTACGATATGGTCCCTTTCTTTTTTAGGTGATGCCCATATACAGTAATATACTAATTTTTTTTCTTTTACTGTTTCACAGTTTGTCCGCATGTATCTTCCATCTTTTTATTTTATAGTAATTAATATCCTTAATTTTGTTCACTTTCCCCTTCTTTTTCATGATGTCCAACTTTAGGATCATCTAATCTAGTACCCTTTTTAATTTTAATCTCCATTTTGAACTCTGCTTTTACATTATTTTTCTGCTCGGAATCATCTAAATAACGAGGCTAAATTATTTAAAATATAATTGAACGGGTAAAAATAAATTGGCACACACAAAGTTAGTCATGTTAATAAATTACTTAAATTCAAATTAAAGATAAATAAAATTTCACTTTCTCATTTTATATTTCTTCTCAATTTAAATAAGTTGATTTTGCTATGTATCCATCTATCATATTATAAATGCAGTTTTATGTGTATTTTAAAGGAATATCAAATAAACTCAAAATATGAGTAATGAAGCATAGATATAAAATCATGAACTAATAAATTATTATTTTTACTATATTGATTGTCTTAACTTCAAGATAACTTGTTTTATAGCTTAATTATATATATGTTGACATACTCAAATTTAAATTACGATCAGCTTTGTACGATTACGTTTTGAAAATTAGACTAAATTAACCCGTTGATTGTACGATTTAACTAGCTAATAACATTCAATTGCATACAAACAAGTTTCTTTTATTCGATTCTAAATAGAATAACTTGATTCTTATATATATTTAATAATTTAGTATTCATCAATTCATATTTCATACATTTGTCAAGCGTTGAATTTTTCATTTGGAACATTTTATTAATATTTTATATTTTTTTCCTTTCATTCACTTGCACTTCCTTTATTGAATATTGAGGAAGTGTGGAAATATTTAAAATGGTTTTTTCACGGTTTAAAATTGGAATAAATTAATTAATAATAATAATCCATACTGTTATCTATCTTAATTAGAAATATGTAAAAAATTGTAATTTAAGATTGAAATGATTTAATAGTATATTTTATAATATAAATATGTTAATAATTTACGTTTGATATTGAACACTTTATCGTAGTTGTGGGATAATAAAGCAAGACCGTGCGCCTTAGCCCTAGCATAATAAGTACGAATCTGCGTAAATCAACTTTCCAAAATAAAAAGAATGAAAAAGAAAGGGAAAGGTTGATGTTAGTCCACTTGTTGAGCCACGAGAAGACCTGCTCCTCAATGTTTTAAGGACACACTGATTTGACACGTGCATCAGTTGCCAAAACACACGTGTAACCCCTGTTTCGTTTTAAATTATCAAATATATTTTAAACATGCCTATAAATTCATTTAAATTGTGTATTATTCATTCAAAATATTATTTGATATATATATATACACGATATTTTATATATTTTTTCAAGTCAAACAAATTCAAAACAAAACGATGCGTCAAATAAATAATTAATGTAAAAAATTATTTTACAAAAAGTATGGTAGGAATAAATTAATTATTTCGTTAGAAGATTGTTGCAGTATTTACTTGATTTTAAATAACTATTATTTTCAGCAATATTTTTAAGTAGCATTATTTTAATTTTTTCAACTTTATGTATAAAAAAACTTCAGAAAAAAATAATCCTGACAATATTTTTTATAAATAATTCATTTAATCTAAAAAATAAATGATATAAAACTCGTAAATTCCGAAAAACAAATAGAGTAAGGAATTGACACGTATAAGTTCTTGGCTAGGAAGGGTCAGAAAAATGAAATAACGCAAGTTAGTTATATATAATTGTCACGTGATTTATAATTATGATTCTAATTAAAAATAACTAAACATAAAATTGGAATTAATAGACCCAAATCCAGTTCCAAACCTACTATTGGAGACTTGGTTTGAGTGATAAACATTGTGTTATTTTTAAACAAAGTTTTGGGTTTAAGTTTTATGAATAGAACTAACATTAAGAAAAATGATCTTGCTATCCCATAGACGTTTCTGACTTGAAAAAAGAACAAGGCCTTTTGTAAAAGATTTTTATGGTTCTAGACAATAAATAAATAAATAAATGCATTCATGAAATTAAAAGTACAATCAGCGATATAAATGTACACAATCTATATATTTGAAATTAATAAATTATAGAAAAATAATCACGCTAGAATCCTCCAACATTAGATCTAATCACTGATTAGGGATATTGTTTATTGTCTAAAACATGTGACAAATGTTAAACTTTTGTGGTCACTCTAACAGATTAATTTCATTTTGGGCATGTCATTAGAGTTTGGCTGAAATATTTCAAAAATTGTCGTATTAAGTTGTTTTAAAAAAATGTCAAATACTTTAGGTGCCATTTTAGGGGTCATTACAGTAACTATGACTAAAAGAAATTATATTTATTTTTCTCACATGATAATATGGTTGGATGAAAGATAAAATTAAAAAGACATGTTCATAGATGAATATAACTATAAATAAATAATTAAATTATTTTATTTATTTGAATGAATAAAGAATATTAATATTTAAAAATTAAAATTAAACAAATTAGAAAGCTTTTAGAATATGCAAACCAATAAAGTATATTAATTCTCTTTGAAATTTCTTGCTGAGGAAACAGAGTCCAAGTGTCAATCGTGTTATGATTTCCGACGCGAACCACATTCCCAAAAGGATGTGCTAAGCCTGAAGAGTCCCCCACCGTAACTGCATCTGTTCATAATAATATTACTTACAATAATGTTTATGTCACATCCTACAAAATATGTAAATAAAAACAATATAATAGAAATATAAAGAATTTAAAATATACTTGCTTATACTTTTTTTATTGTATACGTCACATCTGGTGTGATCAAATAATCAAAATATGACTATGCATAACTCTTAATTAGGAAAGCTTGAAATCACATAATTGAAATTGTAAGGGTAAATATCGTTTACAGATGCTTTTAACTCCAAATTAAATATAAACGTTAAATATTTAACTCAAATAACTGGTCAAACCAAATAGTAAGACAAGCGTTTACTTATAATATTATAGCTAATCTATAATTTTTAAATAAAAATATTTAATTAAAATGGAAATATTTAATTAATACATTTATTTTATTAGTTTATAGTAATTTTTAAGTTCCCTTTTAATTTATAACTAATGATTTTTTAATTATTATTATTATTATTTATTCATATCAATAATATTTTATAGATTTAGTTAACTTCAGTCTTTAGGATTGATTTTAAGTATTTATAAATAAAAAAATTTATAAAAAATTATATGATTATTATATTAAAATTATAAATATATAATATTTTTGATAAATTTTATTATTTTTAACTGTTTATTTTCAGTCCTAAAAACTGAAATTAACAAAATTTATATTTTATTTAACATTTTATTTAACATCATACTATTTATTTCTAGTAAATATTTTATATTTGAAAATTTGATAAAAATTCAAGTTCATACTTTTGAAATGATTGTTTAATAACAAGATTTTAAAGTTAACAAAAAAATATAATTATATAAAAACATATTTTTAATATTAAATAAAGTTTACATGAAAAAACAAATAAACATGGCTTCTTGTTTTTTTGTTTTTGTTAGTTAATTTAAT